TCACAGGTGGTCGTTGTGGAAAAATAGGAGGAGGAAGTGTCAGCCTCTGTTTCGCTACTTGCTTTTCGGCTGCCATTGAAACAGGGAGGGGGAGGCATGATATTTGGGAAGGGGAGTTTTAAGCATAGGAGAGATTGTGAAAAGGGAGTTTTTGTTCTCACCATCTACCGCTGGAGATAGTGATTGGGCCCGCCAAGGCCAACTGTCCTGCATACCAACCTGATGATGCTTTTTGAAGATGGCACTCACATGACACCTGAGGGATTTGCAGATTGGACTAGGGATGGGGTTACCAGGGGGAAGGGGTTGGGTCGCCTATTGATATCTATGATTTCGCGCGCTTTTGCCTCAGATCTTGCTTTGCTTAGCTGCGATCTTTTCATAACCCGTAAAAGTACTCTTAATTCTGCGAAATGGAGTTAAGTGGTTTCTTTCTTGGTTGCTGAGGGAGGATGGCTTGACAGGAAGCATTAAATATCTTCGCCATTTGAGTTATATTATTAAAAATAATAAAGAGGGATTGGAAATAAACCTCTCTCTCCACCACCACCACCCCGGCCCACAATTAAATCACAGAGAACTGAGCCAAGGCTAATGCTACCGTAATCAAGCTAATCGTGCTGGGTGAATGAAGCTGACAGTTCTTCATCTGACCCGTGGGGCAGAAACACTGGCATTGCAGTGCCAAGAAAGGAATAGCTAGTCCCAGAGGCCAGGTCCTTGCTGCAGACCTACAGGGCATCAACACCAGCACGCTCAGATCAGGAACACCAGTTCTAGCTTGTGATCCGATTTTTGCCACAAACCCTAAATTCACAGAGTGAAAAGAAGAGGTCTCCCGTCACAAGGGAAAAAAGAAAACAGGAAGAGAGCAGCTTCTGGATTTTTTCCCCCAAGGAGTAGCCGCGAGCGCCTACTTTCTTGTGGGTATTGAAATAAAGCCTTGGGTTCCTGCTCTTTGTTCTCCTTGCACCTGTCTCTGAGCAAACTCGGAAACACGGAGTAAGTCAGGTGAAACCCATTCTGGGTTCAGGTGATCAAGAGAGAGGAATTTGGAATGGAAGAAGTGGCAGGTCATGTGACCAAGAGGGAGGAGGGCTCAAAATGGAGGGAGGGGGCTTAGAACAGAGGACCTAACATTCCCCTCTGGGTCATGTGACCAAGAGGAAGGCGGCTTAAAATGAAGGGCAGCTCCATTCTAGGTCACATGACGAGGAGGGAGGGAGCGTAGAATGGCAGGCCTACCAGCTCCGTCCTGGGTCATGTGACCAAGGAGGCTTAAAATGAAGGTGACAGCTCCGTTGTGGGTCATGTGATCAGATCTTAGAATCCTGAGCCGATGCCTAACTGTGTCTCTGATAGGTGAAATGTGGAGTGGGGAGGAGTTTCCCACAGCTCCTATAGTTCCCATCCGGGTCCAACCCATTTTCAAACTCAACTGTCTGTCTTGTCCTCCTATATCCCACATGGTCCCATTCTCTTCAGTTTTTGCTGGCGGCCCAAGTCCCAAAAGAGGACTTCAGAAAGAGGCTGGGGAATTCTGGGAGTTGAAGTCCACGCGGCTTAAAGTTGCCGAGGTTGAGAAATCTGTCTTCCCTTTGTATCTCGTTTGTCAAAATATCTTTTGGTGTAGGGCAGGGCTGGGTTGCTGCCGGCATTACTGCCGGTTCGGTGCGCGCGCGCTCCCTTCGCTCGTGCACGCACCAGACACACACACTGCGCGCATACGCATTTCCCCATAAATGCCATTCAAATTGTTCTGTGGATGCACAGAACTGAAAACAAGATGGCGCCACTGCCCACATCACCCGGGGAACCAGTTTGAGGGTGTGGCAGGCCTGGGTTGCTGCTGGTTGCAGGAACCCAGGCCGCCAAACCACTACTGGTTTGGCCGAACTGGTAGGAACCCGCCACTGGTGTGGGGAGTGGAAAAGAAAGAAGGAAGTATAGGCTGAATCACACTGCAATTTAAGTTGATTTGTTTTTCTGTGGCTTAGCACACTGCATGCCTTTTTTGCTGTGGCCCCTGACCTCTGAAGCAGCATCCTCACCAAGGTGATAATAGTCCTATTCCTGCTAGTCTTTCGGGAAGCCCACAGGATGGTTATATTTTAGTTAGATCAGTGTTCCCCAACCTTGGGAACTTGAAGATGTCTGGACTTCAACTCCCAGAATTCCCCAGCTGGCTGGCTGGGGAATTCTGGGAATTGAAGTCCAGACTTCTTCAAGTTCCCAAGGTTGGGGAACACTGGTTTAGATAAATATTCTCTCTTGCAATCCTACTTTCATTTGAATGCTTAAAAGTTTTTTTTAAAAAAACAGCTATGATATTACGTTTTGGTGGTAGGCTGCTCAAGAGTCATATTCAAGTGAAATCGGCGGCCACATAACTTTATTATGTAAATATTAAACTCAACGCCACCTCTCAAATATGCAGACCATGGTTCCGTGTGGCGTGTCAAAACTAAGCAGTTATGGCTTCTCAGGAAATCATGGTCCAGCCAAGGAACCCTATCCTAGTCTGTCAGGCAAATCAGGGCACAGAAGAACAGCAAACTTCACCATGATCGGCAACCCTTGACTTTTTCTGCGTGTAGTTTTCCCACCAAGGCTCAAATAAAAAGCAGGCATCACCCCATTAATCACCCCCCCCCAATTCTTTTAGACAAAAGAAAAACCAGGATAAGCAGCAGCTCCCCAGTGGGGTTGAGGCAGAAGGAATCGCCCAGCCTTGTTCAGTAAAGGTGAAGATTCCCCTCGCACATATGTGCTAGTCGTTCCCGACTCTAGGGGGCGGTGCTCAACTCAGTTTCAAAGCCAAAGAGCCAGCGCTGTCCAAAAACGTCTCCGTGGTCATGTGGTCGGCATGACTAAACGCCGAAGCCGCACGGAACGTTGGTACCTTCCCACCAAAATGGTCCCTATTTTTCTACTTGCATTTTTACGTGCTTTTGAACCGCTAGGTTGGCAGAAGCTGGGACAAGTCACGGGAGCTCGCTCCGTTAGGCGGCGTGTGGGATTCAAACCGCCAAACTGCCGACCTTTTCTGATTGACAAGCTCAGCGTCTTAGCCCCTGAGCCGCTGTGTCCCATGTGAAGCCAATTTCCCCAAATCCTTCCGGCCCTACCTCAGGATCTTATGCTGGGTTTGTTCATTTCGAAAGCCGCGATGGCAGCCTTTGAGAGCCGGGTCTCACAGACTAGTCCCCTCTTTCTCAACAGCCAAAGGGTTGCTGCTGGGGGGAAAAATATATATAATGAACTTGTGTGTTTCCAGCAGAGCCCTTTGCAGAAAAGTGCTGGGCTTCGCAAGACCTTCCTGGATGAAAAAGCGTTGACAGAATGTGCTATGGGAGGGACCGGGAAGCATCATGGAAAGGTTGTTGTGGTTGTTGAGAGGAACGCAGAAGGAGGGGAGGGGCGGATGGGGCATTAAGAGGGGTGGGGGTGGGGGTGGGGGTAGGCTCTTAGAGCACAGTCTTGTCTAAATCCACCTTGACCGGCAGTACGCCTGCTTCCTTGTTCTCCTCCGTGGGGCAGATGGCCATGGCAATGACGGGGCGTAAGGAATAGGGCACGGGGCCATCTAGGTCTTCCAGGTATTCTTTGTCTCCATTGATGCTCAGGGGCTAGAAGGAAGGACAGAGAGATTGTTACAAAAAATGCTGTCACTGTCATTCTCCTTCTTGGATGGTTTTAGAAGAGGCTGGGCAGCCCCCTGGCTTAATTAGAATTAACTACCTGGTGTGGTTTTAATTCAGGTGGTCTAATTCAGGTGTGTCCAACTTTGACAACTTTTAAGACCTGTGGAATTCAATTCCCAGAATTCCCCAGCTGCCTGGCTAGGGAATTCTGGGAGTTGAAGTCCACAAGTCTTAAAGTTGACAAAGTTGGATAAAGGTAAAGATTCCCCTGCATATGCATGCTAGTCATTTCCCACTCTAGGGGGTGGTGCTCCTCTCCGTTTCAAAGCCGAAGAGCCAGCGCTGTCCGAAGACGTCTCCGTGGTTATGTGACCAGCATGACTATAGCAATAGCAATAGCAGTTAGACTTATATACCGCTTCATAGGGCTTTCAGCCCTCTCTAAGCGGTTTTACAGAGTCAGCATATTGCCCCCCGCAGTCCGGGTCCTCATTTCACCCACCTCAGAAGGATGG